TATTGTGGCAACGTTTCGCTCTCAGGAGCTTTGTCAAGCCGTTACGGCTTGACAAAGCTCCTGAAGAGCGAAACGTTGCCACATTATCACATTAGTTGCACTTGTGTCCTTTTACCCATCACCCCCACCCCTCTCTACTTCTTAATCTCCATGGAGAATTACGGGTTTAGCGCATCTCCGTTGCTTCTCTACTGCTCGTAGGTATTACATTTTCTGAATGCTTCGGGAATGTCAAATTTTTAGACATGATTTTTCCAACAGTCATGACATATATGTTTCATCACACGTGGAAACCCAATTTATATTTAACGAGTTAACATACTTGGTCATTCCCATACAAGGTTGTCCACGTTCACCCATCAGTAAATGGGTACCTGGGTGTTAGTCGACTGGTGTGAGCCGTATCCTGGGACAAAACTGACCTAATTTGCCTGAAATGCTCTGCATTACAAACGGCTTTCTATGTAGTAGAATGCCATTGATGTGAGCTATGGTTTGTATACATTGTACATGTACTTGTAGTAAATAAAGATTTATTATTATTATTATTTATTATTATTATTATTATTATTATTATTATTTTATTATTATTATTATTATTATTATTATTATTTTTATTAAGGTATATAGACAGACTGGTAATAAATGACCATAATTTTTAAAGGGGTGGACCGGTAAGCCAGCGGAAGGCCTCGGTCAGATGACCAAAAGCTCCAAAGGCGGGTCATCATGTGACTAAGACCCGCGTCAGGAAACATTTCTCCTGTTTCCTGACGAACCTTACCTAACCTAACCTAATTATTATTATTATTATTATTATTATTATTATTAAGAATATGGTAAGGAGAGGGGGGAAGAAGATAAGAATAGGACAGAAAATCACTTAACTAGGTTTTGGGTAAACAGAAGGAAGAGGAGAAAAGACTAGTGACCCATCCACTACATTACGTTACGTATTATTATTATTATAATCAAGGGGGAAGCGCTAAACCCAGAGGATTATACAGCGCCTGGGGGATGATGTGGAAGGTATTCAGGCTTAATTCGGGGAACTGGAGCACAGATCCAATTACCTAAATCAAGAGCCCCTCACCAACAACATGTGGCATAAGAGACAAGTTATATGCACATATACTGTAACAAGTACCCACGATCCCACATACATAAGTCCATATTTTCTTCCCGCTACCTTCAACAATTCAAAATGTTTCTAGTGATATGTGTTATATATAAAAGAAATCACAGCTCCAGGACAAAAAATAAACTATGTAAGTAAAGAAAGGGAAGCTATTTAATCTATGGGGATTTACGTGTTAACAAACTGTGTTATCAGATGGGGCGGGTCTGTTGAGCAGTATATTAGTTCATCTAACTTGTACCTTAACACAGTCGACCCAGAGATTTTCCCCAGCCATGAAGACCCTGGTTAATTACATTTCGTATATTTATTGCTTTACATTTGGACGCTAGATTGTCTTACATGTCTATAATATGGAAATAACACTTTTCCGTTTGCAACTTAGCAACCAGAACGATCCTAAATATCCTTCAACATCTTGTGTGTTTGATGTAATTCTTCCAGTATTATGGGCATTAAATTTTTATACAGTCACTTGTAAATTTTTTACTAACAGGTTTTTGAATTAATTTTCGAAAGTGAAATTGCTGTCTTCCATATTACCGATTTATATATTGAATTTCGTTATCAGTCTCTATAATATTTTGAAGATTTCAAACTTTGGAAGTTTAAATTTACAATTTTCTTAAGTGAAGCAGTGTTTTCCTCTGTTATTTTTGAGTCATACATATAGTCAGTAAACAGGTGTTAGGTAAAAGGACACAAGTGCAACTAATGTGACATTTTATTGTGGCAACGTTTCGCTCTCCAGGAGCTTTGTCACCATTACATTTAGTTGCAATTGTCTCCTTTTACCTAACATATTATCGGTATTTCTACCAACATTAACAAACAGGTGGTATCACAATATACAAAATAACCACGATAAAAAATAATAAAATTCCTTGTGCTTTCGTGATTTCTTACATAATCAAAGAATAGTTAATAGGAAAACAGCATTACTTAAGAGTGATATGTGTTATTCGCTGGTGTAGTCCCGGCATCCTAAATGATAATTTCATCCCAAGCTTTATGAGAAAATAATATATA